TTTAGCGTGTGAGAGTGTGTGTGTGTGTGAGTGTGTGAGTGTGTGAGTGTGAGAGAGTGTGTGAGTGAGAGTGTGTGAGTGAGAGTGTGTGAGTGTGTGTGTGTGTGATATTGCGATTTAGAGGTTTTCTCTTGGAATGAGTTTTCAGATGTTAGAAAAACTCACCGCTAAAGTATTAGGGGTTGTGGGTGGTTGTCGGGTCATTGCTATGTAGTTTAGGTGGATAATAGGTTGTTGCTATGTGGTTGCTGGGTTGTTGCTGTGTTGTGCATTGCTATGTGCTATGGGTGGTTGCCAGGGTGTTGCTATATGGTATGTGTGGTTGATGGGGTGTTGCTATGTTGTATGGGTGGTTGCTATGTGCTATGGGTGGTTGCCAGGGTGATGCTATGTAGTTTGGGTGGCTGATGGGGTGTTGCTATGTTGTATGGGTGGTGTGTTGCTGTGTGGTTTGGGTGGCTGGTGGGGTGTTGCTAGGCGATTGCCAGCATGTTCTGGGTGATAACTTTTTTTTTTAGTGGTTTCTATGTGGTTTCTGACTGTCTGAAGTCTGAGAGAGATTTTCTGTCTCTGTCGGTCGTGGGCAGGATTCTGCTGCGCTGGGGGTTTTTCCCTCAGAAGAATGAGTCTTTGTCTTTGTACGATGTACAGACTCTGTCTGGCAACCTCAACACACACACACACACACACACACACACACGCACACGGCTGTGAGAAGGTTAGCCGGTTGATCTGCTGGAGACTGAGGGAAATCATGATCGTCGGAGCTCGCTGAGGTGCATTCTGGGAGCCGCGTGAACAAGGCCGCCTCTCATACGGTAAACAGCCTCTGCATCAAAACCAACACAGCCGGTTGCCGTGGTTACCATCTGCCGGTGTCGCCGTGGCATCCAGACGGTCGCATTCCTTAAGAAAGCCCAGTGTAATTACAGAGTGATTTCTGAGCAGAGACGTGCGTTCAGCCGCTCGAGCAGATGTGCAGAAGCGCATGTGAGATCCGATCATTTAGAGACACGTTTGCAGTCAGATCAGGAGCTCAGGACGGCTTCTTAATTTTACTCGCACTGTTTTGTTACAACACTTTACTAGTAAAAAGAGAACTGTTTGATTTAATAAATTGTCTTTGGTAGTTGACTTAAAAATAGTTCTTTCTTTCTAATTATCAATTATTTATCATTTTTAAAAGGATTATTTATTTATTTTTATTTTTAAAATAAGTCATTCATTTTAATTATTTTTTGTTTTAAAAATAATTTTTTATTTGCATTTATTTTTTAGTAGTCAATGAAAAATGAACTGTGTTTATAATTAACATTTGTCTAAACTCAAGCAGCGTCTTGTATTATTTATTTTCACTGAGCTTGTAGTTGCTCAGCTGAGTGGTGATCTTCTGTGTAGGTGGGACGTTCAGCAGGTTTGGGGTCAGTGCTCTCGTCTGTACGGGCGTCAGAGGATGTTTGAGCTCTTCTGGGCAGATCTGAGATCAGGTTTGTGTTTCAGCAGCAATAGAGAAGAATCCAGCAGCTGTGCATGAATAACGCTGGAGACGGAGATGAACTTTACATGCCCTGATACTGCAACACGGGAAGTGCAGAGAGCAAGACTCACAGACGTGCTGATTTTACTGAATCATTTCTGTGTGGCTGATAAAGGGACGGAAATCTCGGTATGAACGCTTGTCTTTGCATTGTGCGTCTGATTTATGAGCCTTTCCTGTGAGCGCATTTTCATTACACTAGTTGTGCTTAACAACCCCACATCACATAAACGCTTCAGATCTCTGAATAAACTCATACGCTCAAAATCTGATTTCATTCTCCATTTACATTTATGCACATGAGACTAATGTCAGTTTTTACTCTTGTTGTTGTCTGCGCATGTTTGGAAGACATTTTTATCCATTTAATCAGTTCATGCCCATGATGACTTTGGCTCTTCTGTTTCAGCTTTCTTATTGTGATGAATTGCTTTTGTTTCTCATTTGTAAGAATGAAGAAATGTCAGTGTGCAGGAAGGATCTTTCATGCTGATGTGAGATGGTCTAACTTATCAGGTGGTTCTACCAGGAGCTCTGATGATGCTGCTTAGTGAAATATGAGTTGTGCCTGTAATGGTTTATGAACGACTCCAGAGTGAAGCGTATTCTTGAAAAGCTTTGAAGTGAACACTAAAAACTCTCCTGTGTGTCACAAGATTCTGACTCTTGACGTTTTTTTAGAAGCGCGCCGATTTCATTTGTGTCACTTCCTGTAGGGGGATGTCACTAGAGAAACCAGCCTTACCGCCACAAAGGAGTGTGTGTGTGTGTGTGTGTGTGTGTGTGTGTGTGAGTGTATGTGTGAGTGTGTGTGTGAAATATTTATCACAGCAGAAACTGGCCAGTTTAAGGCCTGCTGACTCTGTGTTTGTGTGTGTGTGTGTGTGTGTGTGTGTGTGTGTGTGAGAGAGAGAGAGAGAGAGTGTGTGTGTGTGTGTGTGTGTGTTTGTCCAGGCACAAAGCTCTCTCTCTTCTGTAGCTTTTTGCAACAGCTTTGACGTCACACACACGCTCGCACACACACGCACAGTCTTCCTGCTGAGAGAGAGAGAGAGACTTTTTCATCTCTTGTTCTTTGTGTGTATTTAGACTTTTTGATATATAATCAACTTTTCATATAAAGATCATAAACTATATGGACAAAAGCATTGGGACACTGATTGAATTCAGGTGTTTCAGTCAGATCCATTGACACAGCTGTATAAAATCAAGCACTATCCATGCAGTCAGCATTTACAAACATTTGTGAAACAAATCTGTTGTTCTGACGAGCTCAGTGAACTCAAGCGTGGTGCTGTGATAAGATGCCGCCTTTGCAATGAGTCAGTTTGTGTAATTTCGTCCCTGCTAGATATTGCACGCTCAACTGTAAGTGGTATTGTTGGAGAGTGGAAGTGTTCAGGAACAGCAGAAACTCCACCAAAAATCCAGGTGAAGTGACGGAGCGGCTCGGCGAACACTGAGGTGCATGGACTGGAGAGTAAAAGTCAGCAGCGCTGCTTCTCTGTAAAGACACTAAAGCGTGGTTAAGAGCTGTAGATGACATGGCTATTGTTAAAATTGGGGAAATTATCGGGGGATGGCAAGGAAAATTACTAGTTTGTTTTCAGCACAATATAAAAATCCTGCAGACTTCAAGAGGAAAACTCTTTTCTGTCACAAGCCTTTCTGCTTCTCATGTGTCTAAACGTGAAAAATAATAATACTTTGATCAAACATCTGATCTTATCTTTTAATAATCATATCTAGTTGGGATCAAATAGCGCTCTTTTTTTAAATAGAAAAACTTGGTAACTTTATTTTAGGGTCTCTTAACTAGTTGCTCATTAGCATGCATATTACTAGAATATTAGCCAATTATTAGTGCTAATTAGGCACATATTACTGCCTTATTCTACATCCCTAATCCTACACAATAGCTAAACCTAACAACTACCTTACTAACTATTAGTAAGCGGCGAATTAGGAGTTTATTGATAGAATAGTCGTAGTTAATAGTGAATAAGTGTTCTATTCTAAAGTGTTACCAAAAACTTCTGTCCGTATAGTAATATAATAGAGCCTTCATAGATAGAACGTGTAGCCTTGTAAACAAACAAACAAAAAACATTTACTTATTTGCATGTTTGCTTACATTTTTATTACTATTTACTTTTTAATTGTTTATTATATATTTACTTTAATGATTCATTTATTTAACTAGTTAAATATGATTATGTATATGTTAAAGAGTTCTCTTTTCTTCGCTGTTCCTCTCTAAATAATATTTAATATAATGATATAACATTGATTTCATATATCCAGGATCACGGGACTCGCTGCGTTGAACAGTCTCTATTGTATGAAGTGCTATAAAACTAAAACTGACTTCCTAAACTGGATTTTAGACAATTAAACACTTAAACAACCGTTGCACGTCACACCTCTGTTCATCAGTTTGCACTGGCTACCAGTAGCTGCTCGCATTAAATTCAAGACATTAATGTTTGTCTACAAAACCAGCACTGGCTCTGCACCCATTTACCATAATTCATTACTTCAGAGTTATGTGCCTCTAGAAGCTTGCGTTCTGCAAGTGAACGGCGCTTCATTTTTCATCCCAAAGAGCCACAAAAACACTTTCACAGACTTTTACATTAACTGTTCCCTCCTGGTGGAGTGACCTGCTCAACTCAATCCTAGCAGCTAGGAGTCCTTAACCATCTTCAAGAATCGGCTAAAAACACATCTGTTACATCTTTACCTGACCCTCTAACTCTAGCACTCTCTATTCTAATTCTATTCTATCTACTTGTGTTTCTTTGTGTGTGTGTATAATAAATATTAACCACATTGCCCACGAGTTACAGCTGCGCTTCTATTGTGCCGCACTAAACTTAGCAATAAACACGTTTAAAATGCACAATAAACATGTCTGTCAAAAGATCTTAAAGGAGGCTTTTATTAAGCAAATCAAGGAGTGAATTACTCGTCCACTGTTTTTAAAACAGACATGTATTGGGCTTGATTCAAGTTAATGCGCAATGAGGCGCACACTTTTTATTTAGTTTTATTGAATAGACGATAAACAGTTTATATTCTAAAATCTATTTAAAGGTTGTGTTCTGTGAAAATTAAATAACATTTGGATGTAAATGGTCGGCATAAAAGTAGTGTGCGGCTAAACCGGCTGCGTCACCTTTATCTGATTGTCCGGGTCCGGAATCATCAAGCACGGCATTAATATCTTCATCCAGATTTCTCTGCAGTTCGTGTATGTTGTTCAAAACGCGGAGCATCATTTTATTCCACACAACAGGCAAGCATTACCGTTAAGTCTATCATCCACCAAAATGCAGACCCGTCACGTGACAATTCTTACGCAAATGAGATTGAGGGAGACGTTAAGTTTGTTTTGATTTATTAATTTACTTACAA